AAAGTAAATATAGTCATAAATTCATGTTGCATGATCCCAAAATATCATAAAATTAACTGGAAAGTTATAGCGAAACAATATGTATAAGCCACTAGGCCATTTCCTATGGACCTGCGAAATATCAGGCTAATCGGAGTTGCCAAATTTTCTTTTACAAAATCAACACATACTAATAAACACAATTGAATATAATCACAAATTCGTGTTGCATCACCACGAAACCCTATAAAATGAACCTGAAAGTCATGGTGAAGCAATGACCATTGTTCACTAGGTTGTTTCCTATGGACGTACGAAATTTCAATCTAATCGGAGTCCGTAAAAAAAATACAAAATTAGCATGTACCACGTTTCCTATGGACCTACGAAATTTCAATCTAATTGGGATCCGCAAAAAATTAATTAGCATGTACTAATACATGCGAAAAAGTTGATATAACCATAAATTCGTGTTGCATGACCACGAAACGCCATAAAATGTACCCAAAAGTCATGGCGGATGTGAGTATTGGTTACAAGGCCGTTTCCTATGGACATACTATATTTCGGGTCAATTGAAGTCCGTCGAAAAAAATTTACAAAATCAGCATGTACTAATACAACGAAAGTGAATGTAATCACAAATCCGTGTTGGTCACTACGCCGCTTCTTATGGACCTACGAAATTTCAGGCCAATCAGAGTCTATCAAAAAAATTCTACAAAATCAGCATGTAATGCACACGAAAAAATTGATATAATCACAAATTCGTGTTGCATGACCATGAAACACCATAGAATAAATATGAAAGTCATGGCAAAGCAATGAATAATGGTCACTACACGATTTTGTATGGACCTATAAAATTTCATGCTAATCAGAGTCTGTCAAAAAAATTATAAAATCAGTATGTAATAATACACACAAAAAAGTAGATATAATAACAAACTTGTATTGCATAGCTCCAAAAACACCAAAAAAATAGACCCCAAGTCATGGCGAAGCGATGAGTACTGGTCATTAAGCCTTTCTAATAGACCTAAGAAATTTCAAGTAAATCGGAGTCCGTCAAAAAAAATTACAAAATCAACATATACTAATACACATGAAAAAGCGGATATATCACAAATTCGTATTGCATGACCACGAAATCTCATAAAATGAATATGAAAGTCATTGCGAAGTAATGAGTATAAGTCATTAGGCCGTTTCCGTGGCATTTGCATATATACCTATTTTTGGAGCCACCATTGAATTTATACGCGCATTGCACAAAACATTACAGTGTACCCGCTCAGAAGTAGTTCAATCTCTTCAATGCAACTTTAGAAATCAAATCGAATGTTCTCATATCTTACAATTGCAACTTCAGAAATTATAATCTTAAGTAGTTTAATTTTTCTATACAACTTCATATTCAAAATCTGAAATCTTAATTAGTTCAATTTTCAATACAACTTCATATTCAAAATCTGAAATTCTGAAACATAAACTTGTTTTTCGAATTTCAACAATCCAACACACTAATTAATATCAATCATCAAATTATTAAAATAATAACAAATTTAACAAACTCATTTTGCAAGAAGAAGACGAGGAGAAAAATGTATGTATTTGAAGTTACTAAAAAAATGGGTATCAGTTGAAATAGCAATAGCCGTTACTTCTGTCTGCGACTTCAGGGTTGGAACATTAGAGCGGAAACGGGCATAGAATCTGTGAGTGTTTGAATTGAATCCTTTGGGACTTGAAATTGGATCTTAGTCTTCAGGAATTAAGACTGGTTTGTAGCTTTCCTACCTTATCTTACCTTATCTGAAGTTGAATGGGATTCCTAAGTCGAATGACTGATCTCCGGACTCTTTACGGCTCTCAATCTCAATACTAGCTGGGGTTCAAACAGCCTTGACTCCGAAGGAGAAGATTCACTAGTTTGTTTTTCCAGTGCAGAATATAGGGCATTTGAATAGAATCCCTACCTTTGATTACCCAGATGGGATTGCAACTACGTCATATAAATAAGAATCCTCGAAAACAGAGGAATCCACGGCTCTTCTCAACTCTCTCACTAAGGGCTTTTATTCCAATAAGCCTACTTATACGTTTTATCTGAGCCTAGCTTCCAAAGCCAACTCATTCTCAGGGACGAGATAATAAGAAAGGATGGGAAAGAATAAAGAGTGCTTGCAAGTCGGAGAGCAGAGAATACTTAGATGCGTTCAATCAATCGCTTGTCGAATCACCAGTCATCGAGGACGGGCTAACTCTCATATCGCTAGTTCATCCCGATAGAACGGAAGTGAGTAACCTGGAAAGCAAAACAGTCAAGCAAGTGAAATGATCCGTAAGGGGGGTTAGCCTTTTCTTTATGATCATAAACTCCTCTGATCTACTCCATGGCAAAGCTTATGTTCGCTCTAAGATACTTTTAGCCCCTCTCTATAAAAAAAGTTATTTCCTCTTTTCATATATTTATTATAATAAAAAAATAGTAAAGGCATGCTTCAGCCTCGGTCGATCGCTATTGTTCCCATGACCATCAACTGGATCTTTCGCTATATCAATTTGGCCTTCAACTTGCTTTAATGGACAGTTATCATCCTTAAGGCCATATTTGCCTTTGCCACAATTAAAAGAGATCATATGAAGGCTCTCATACTCAATTTCCACACAGTGCGATTTAAACTTATATAAAATAAAAGAGGCTTAGTAAGATCAACTTCTGCACACAATAAAATAGAACGATCGCCCTCAGCATCAAAGGTGGTATAATCAATCTTAAGCATCTTTCCAATTTCTTTCCCTTTAGCCGCCGAACATGATATCTGTTTTTTTCTTTTTGGTGGCCCTTAAAGTTTTATTTTTCTCCTTTATTCGGTCATCAAAGACATACTCTGCAAGCATCTTTCCCTTGTCATGTCAGCATGAAAAAAAAGTATTATCAAATTGGGGACCCTTCATCCCCCCCACCCCCGGTATCGAATTCTTTTAGTATCCAGCATGCTCCCTTTGTTCAGTCGGAAGACTTTTCTTTTGAGAAAGACTTTTTAGTCCCGTCCAACAAGAGAGGTAAAGCGTTTCTATTCAAATGAGACGCACTCCCATTGTCTCGCTAAGGTCAGCAGCAGGACATAGAGCAGGGATTGAGCAGTCTTGGGAGGCGGACTTATATTTTCCGGTTACAAATTGACGACATTTTCACTACTCAAACTTGAAAATGTCTTTTATACCTTCGGGGAAGCATACCGAAAGACCCAACTTTCGCTTAAAATCCCAGTTTGGATGAGCAAAGTTAGGCTCGATTTCGATTCATACTGAAAAATAGGTGAATAGTTGATAGCAGATGGGGTCAAGCTAAAGGTAGAGCTTGAATTGGATTTTCCAGTTGGAAATCCGTTAGAAAAGTTGTACCTTGACAAGTCCCACGATGCTTCTGGCAGCCATCATCGCAGGGACGAAGAGATTCACAAGACCATAACTATAGGCTCATTCTGCACCAGCCCATTAGCAAAACAAAAGGCAAGGAACTTCTTTGACTAGCATAGTATCGGGAACATGCCTAGAAGAGGATTTCAGAATTCTAGAGGCGCGCAAATAAAGCCATGCTTACTTCCTCTTCACTTCATGCTTATACACCAGCTGGACTATCTATCCTTCCTTGCTTTTGATTAGATTCTGACATCAGGAGATGAAAGCAATCAAGCAGGCAAAACTTTTATTTTTAGATGGATACAAATTCAATCGGTGACACAAAACTAGGTCCAACATGAAAATTTTACGTCGTTTCCCATGGACCTACGAAATTTTAGGCCTGGAGTCCGTCAAAAATATTCGATAAAAATAATATGTACTAATACACAAAAGAATGGATATAATCATAAATTCGTGTTGCATGACTGTTAGGGAACTATCTTAGTACTTCAAATAGCATCATAAACGTTTTTCTTCTGATGGAACCTTTTGGATTTAAACAAAGGTGGAGGCGATTGAAAATCTTGGTAGGGACGCATTCATCTCCGTTGATTCTCTATTCAACTTGTGCTGCAATTTACATGCCCTTTGGCCACTCAGCTAGCTGATATGACCCTTATATGTAGTAGTTATATTCACAGTGCTTTCTAGTTCCCAATTAAAGATGTGAAATAAACCGATTGCACTAAATTTTTACCGGTTCAAAGCAAATTGAAACGATAAACAGGTCAAATCATAACCAACACAATATTTTCTTAGGTCAAAAGAGTGGGTGAATTCGGAATTTTGGACTAAACATAGTGCTCGTTATATCAACATCTCTTCTTTCAATTAAAAATGATTATCCACAATACCAACTCTATGGATCATTTGGTTCAAGGGATTAGTTGTGTTATCTCGATATAAATTTTGGGGTAAAATTTATTCCGTATTTGGTTAAAAGTATTAGTTAAAATCGATATTATTTGTTATATTGAATCTTGATACAACTTGTCTCATATAAAAGGTGGAATAAGCAATTCAAGTTATAGTTTGATTTTAATCCCAAGATTATAATCTGGAATATCCCGGTTTTGAAGAAAACGATACCTAAAAGGTTGACTCCAATCATTCTATTTTTTGGAGTCTAAGTTCATAGGAGCCTGTGGACTCCAAGCAAGTTGAAAGGGCCCATTCTGGAAATCCATGTGTACTTGCGTCCAATCTTATATAGCTGGCCAGGTCTATCCAATTGGCCCCAATCTGGATTAACAGCAGTAAATTCTGATTGAGCTCGGCATTTACGGCAAATCAACATATCTTCATAATTGATGGACGCCCATCACTTAATGCTGTTTTACTCAGATCTAACAAAGCAGATCATTTTGTAGTCAGATCTATGACGCCGTCTTTAAACTGGATGCTGAATTACTACTGAACCACCAAAAAATCACAACACTACCTAAAAGCTCTCAGCACAAAATTGAAAAGCGACATGTCAAATCTGATGACCCCAAGCATCAGGTGACAAGTGAAACAGTTTAATCGTCGTGTCTTATTTTATCAGCAGACATCAAATCCAACATATGCTCTCTTTCAATGATGTGCCTTAGCTTCAGCCTTCTTTTGAGACTTGGCCTTTGCCTAGCAAAAAGATCAAGAGAAAACAAGTGTCACAATTACTGTGATCAAATTTGGCAAATCAGCTAGAGTTAAATAGATTGCAAACATATCTGTCGAAATAAAAAAATAGTATAACAGTTGATACAAGGATAAGAACAGAAACTCTCTATACAAGAGTCGATGTATTTCGTTTATTTGTTGACACGGACAAAATCATGGAAAGCCTCTGAACTTATTTCAATATTGAACCTGGACATATAAGAGAGTTCCTATGGAAAAGCTATTCTTGCGAGCTACTACTTTTGTGAATTTCTAGTGGCATTAACAACAAATTATCCGGTTGAGATTTGGGAACAACAAACCCCAAATACAGCACCACATCCAATATGAAGAGGGAGAGTGGAGCTAACCAAACCCAAATAGATCCATTACAATGAAGAATGTGACAAGCATACATCGTAAGAAAATCAGAGAGAAAATTAAGATTAGTTCTTGAAGCAACTAATACGCAGGGTCTATGAGCCATATGCTTGGAGAGTTAGAACTTAGCTAGTGATAGGGGTGTACATTCGAATCGGTTTATCGATATATCGAATCAATTATTTGTTATCGGTTTATCGATATCGGTTTATCGATTTATTGATTTTGATTTTGATTCCGAAATTTTCCTTATCGAGTTATCGATTTCGATTTTGTCCTCTTCGATTATCGGTTTATCGATAAACCGATAAGATATACTAAAAAAAAAAAATAATAATAATAATAATAAAAAAAATTACCCTTATTCTATAATACCCTTTCATTTACCCTAAGTCCCTAACCCTATTATTTCATCTACCACATTTAAGGAATGATCATATTTAGAGCTCAAGGGAATGAAGTTCAAATTAATGGAAAATAGAATTAGCCGTGAAGATGTATTTTTATTTTTTTTATACCGTTGGAGTGTTGGTGGCATACATTTGATCCCTTATTTAGTTTCGTTGCATGTACTTGTTGACATAATTTTTATGTTATAAACGGTATTCGTCTTATTTTAGCTTCTTTTTGTCCATATTAGTTAGGCGTGTTTATAGCAATATATTTTCCGTGGAATCCCGCAAATTTTCTTATTGGTGTAATCGATAACCGAATCGATAAGCCCCAAAAATCGATAAATCGAAATCGAAAAAATCGAAACCTTATTGAAACGATAACGATAAGCATATGTACAAATCGATAATCGATAAGTAATTATCGATAAGGGTCAAAATCGAATCAATAAATCGAATGCACATCCCTAGCTAGTGATGAATCCTTATCAAATGTGGAGATTCTAGCCTAAAACACATAATTTAGGCCCATAAATGGACTCTCCTAGCTTTGGAGAGGAAAAGAGGTGGTATTAAGGAGCACAGGTGGCATTTGAAACAATCCTGGTGTCTATATTCATTTCATACCCGGGCAACTTCATTCAATTTCTTTAAGTTTCAGTTGCCGACAAAGAAAATAAACATTATGAATAGAAAAGATGGCGAATATGCATAACCTCATATCTTGTTTACTACTGGTTTTCAGCAAATATTTTGTTTTTTTAATAACTGTGGTGCCTGGGCAAGAATGCGCGCACCTCGACTAATTCTACCCGGTACCCTCCATCTCCCACCAGCAACAAGTATAAGATTTAACGAAGCGGTGTCACGCAACACCGCTTCGTCAGAAAATTTTACTAAAAATATGTATTAATATTGTACTGAAATGGATAAGTAGAAAACAATGACCCCGCTTGACATAAATTGTGTCTTGGCGTGTTGGCCATGTGCTTGATTTTGCTCTAAGAGGTCAAAGGTTCAAACCTCAACTAACACATTTTTCTTTTGCAAATATTTGAGAGAGCCTTTGTGGTTAAAATTGTGAAGAAGTAGAATTGAACCCAGCAACTTTCTAACTTAAGACTCAACAAAACCAATAAACTAAAGCTATTTCTTGTCTAAAAGTATGATAATCAAATTTATATTCCAATTCTTCTATAAATTTCGATACCGCTTTCAAAAATTCCTGCGTACACCCCTGATCCTAGCCTACCAATTATCCTCATTTTGCAATTACAAATATAGGATGCTGGAATCTCGGATTGCATCGAGATTGCATAATTGAAACTCTGCTTAAGCTTAGTTGGAAAAGGCCAAATGTTTCCTTAATTAAGGGAAGGGGGAGAGAGACGTGCCTTGTTAAAATACAGAAAGAGAAGAGACAAGAGGATACTATTCAGGAAATGGAATGATTCTATTGGAAGTGCAGATGATTGCTTCATCAATCTTGTCTCTGAAAGTCTGAGTTCTGAAGCTTCGAACAAGATTGGGGAAAGAAGCCATTTCCAGTTAAAGTTTTTTTTCCCCTTAAATACTATAGCATTTACGTTTAGCATTAACGCGAGTTGTGTTTCTCTAGTTGCTGAACCCATTTATAGGCTGACAATTTTTTACATGAGCCCCGTAAATCAAAGAATTACATGGGACACTTGTATTGATCAACTACGTAACACTTGATTGGATAGTTGGAGGATCATTTTGGCAAAAATGCTTCTCAGCAAAGCCAAAGTCGAAAGGCTAGCATACTACAGCAGCTGAGGAAAGAGATTCTGAGGTGGAGGGAGAGACTGGAGGAGTAAACAAACACAAAAACACACTGTTGAACCAGTGCTTATTACAAAATCAGAAACCCTTAAACACGATAAGTTTAATGGGTTCTGTTTATTGGGCAAGAGTCATGGATAAATAGGTTGTGAATGGTAAGCCAATCTTTAGCCGAACTATGTTGTCAGTGGTTGATTGAAGTACATCAGTGATTAACCTTCGACCTGCAAATAGTTATATCCATATTCCCGGTCATAGATTTCAAAATCTAACAAGCAACAATATCTTAGCAGGGTGCAATACCTGCACTGGAGTTCGCATAACATAATTCAGGACTTCTACACCATACCAAAAGAAATGATTGTATAGGTCCAAAGTTGGCGAGCATGGTAACGGATAAGCAGGACAAAAAAAGGGGTCGATCACGATATAACAGCTAAAGACCGTTCTCACAAAAGTTGATGCCAAAGGCGAGCAACTGAGATAGGATAGTAACAGTAACTTAGGTTCAGAAGGGTTTTTGGAGAATGTCCCTTATAAATAGGAAGAGATATGGAACAAAGGGGGGATCTGCCTTTCTGAACTGGAACATATTGTAAAAGTTGAAAGAAGAATATACGAAAGGGTTGTCTTATTTATTTATTCAAGCACACGTTGTTCAATCTTTATTCATAAATCTCAAGATCTCATATACATTTTGACCTCTCGCTTTTCCACGTCGCCGTCAGAGAAAAGGAACATCCCAATCATATAATCATTGGGTGATAGTTCCTTTCCCATTAGAGTCCTTGTCATTACTTACATTTATTATACATTTATGCTATCACATTTATTGTCAATCATAGCATATTAAGTGTTTGAGCAAATAAATGCTAAATCAATTAATGATAAGTTAGAGGGCGAATCTTAGTTGAACTTAATAAATTCTAGACCGAATAAAATAAAGCTCTTATATAACGAGTAGAGCTCGGGAGCATTAAACAGCGAACTTAATATGTTATGATTGACAATAAATATGATAGCATAGATGTATAATAAATGTAAGTAATGACAAGGACTATAATGGGAAAGGAACTATCACCCAATTATTACATAATTGGGATGTTCCTTCTGACGGCGACATGGAAAAGCGAGAGGTCAAAATGTATATGGGATCTTGAGATTTATGGATAAAGATTGAACGTATGCTTGAATAAATAAATAAGACAACTCTTTCGTATATTCTTCTTTCAACTTTTACAATATGTTCCAGTTCAGAAAGGCAGATCCCCTCTTTGTTCCCTATCTCTTCCTATGTATAAGGGACATTCCCCCAAAACCCTAAAAAGTAGGGCATAAAGAATATCCAAAGCAATATTCTTTATGTCCACTTCTGAACCTAAGTTATCCTATCTCAGTTACCCCCCTTTGGCATCAACCTTTGTGAGAGCGGTCTTCAGCTGTTATATCGTGGTCGATCTCATCCTTTCTTATCCGTTACCGTGCTCGCCAAATTTGGACCTATACAGTTAGTCCCTGCGCTTGTTGAGGTCGTAGTCCTGCACGTCCTCGATAGTGGACATCATTTGCTTTCACCTCGGGAGAATTTGGCTATTGAATCAAGCCGGGTCGACCAGGGTCGAGAGAATGACACAACTAACGTAGTCATGATTGATGTGGTTACCACGGGGTGACGTCACAGCCACGCGCATCATTACTACGCATCTTCCCGAGATAGCGTCTGCGTGCCTGTCGCTTTGGTTTTAGTGACATCGATAATCCTTTGCTTCGATTCTCGCACCATCCAGCCCTATAAATTGATGAGGGTTTCGTTTTTTCAGAAGTTTTTGCCATTTCCCTCTTTGCATGAACGAAATTGGTTTTAGTGCCATCGATAATCCTTTGCTTCGATTCTCGCACCATCCAGCCCTATAAACTGATGAGGGTTTCGTTCCTCTTTGCATGAACACCATTTTCCTTCGATCTTCTTTGCCAGTTCTCGTTGTTTTGTTTATACAATTCCGTTCCTCCTTCTTACCTAATCATCATCTCTTTCTTAAGGTTTGGTGGCACACCTTTCATCGTCAAGATGTCTCAAGCCCTTCACAATCATGACGAAGTTTCGGACGCCACTCTGTTATCGATGGCTCCTCCTTCTAGTGGTGAGGACCTCGTGGCTGAAAAGGGTGACAGTTTTCCTACCGTAGAGGAGATAGTTCCCAGAAGCCCCTTGTCCAAAAGCGATTTCCACAAGGAACCCGCTCCTTCTCCCGTTCCGATGATCTCTGAGACCGAGTCGTCTCATATAGTTGAACTCCGATCTACCTATCGTATCCCTCCTCATGTCGAGATGGTGTGGCGACATCATGGAGGTCCATAGACCTGGGTACTGTGCTTTTTACGTTTATCCTTTCTTGATTGTTTATA